CCCCCCCCAAACACCAATTAGCTTATTTTATTTGACTTATAAATGGCTAAAGTATGTGATGCAACTATCTTATAAAATATTTTGCTTATATCATTTCTCCTTTATTTTTTTCCTTTTTTGTCCTTATCATATATTTTAGATAATAATTCTCTGATTAAGTTGACATGGATTGCCGGCATTTTCGGGATTAGAATTAATAAGTCTTAAAGCAGAATTGAGCTTACTTTCAAATATCTTTTTTCCTTTTCTTTGTTCCCGGCATTTACTATTGCTCCAATTATCCAATATCTCCATTCTCTAAAATAGCAGCTAAAATATCCTCTAGGCCATTCTCTGAGCCATGTCGGTTGACCATGACTGGTCGGAACTTCCACCGGAGCTTCTCGATACGATCGTGAATAAGCTAATTAACCTCCGCGATTACCTCCGTTTCCGAGCCGTTTGCTCCAACTGGCGATCCTCAACGCCGGCGACTCCCAAATACCTACCTTGTCAATTCCCATGGTTAATGCTCCCAAAAAACCGGTCGAACCGGCGTGGTTTCTTCAACCTCCTTGATAACAAGCTCCACTTCCTCAACCTTCCCGAAGCTTCAAACCGCCGCCGTCGCTGTGGCTCTTCTCACGGCTGGCTCATCATCGTCGACGAATCGCCGTCAATTTTCATAATTAATCCGCTCACAAAAGTGACTTTTAATCTTCCACCTCTGTCTCAGCTTCCTAATGTGGTAAATTTCGATTTTTACAGCGTAGGTCGAGAATTTACTATCCAATCTCCCGACGGCGAGGTTTACACTCGTAATTTAAAGGAAATGCGTGACTTGTTTATTAAAAAGGTTGTCCTTTCTAATAGTCCTTCACGTGATCCGAATTTTATTGCGGTAGTAATCCTTAACGAAACAGGCGAGCTTGCTTACTGCAAAAATGGAGAGAATTCATGGAAATTTATTGATGAAGCACGGTTTTTTGCTGAGGATGTTATATATTTTGATGGATTATTTAATGCTGTTCATAAACTTGGATCAATTGCAGTTTGTGATGTTAGTGGTGATTCGCCTAGGGTTTCGTTTATTGAAACGCCTAGGCAAATTGGGGGTGATATACAGTATTTGGTTAAAACAAATGATGAACTTTTACTGGTGACTAGGTGTTTGGAGCTTGATACTGATGCTGCATATCATCAGCTTGATGTTGTATATAAGACAGTTGAATTTCGTGTGTTTAGGTTGGTTTTAGAAGGGCCAAGGTGGGAGAAGGTGGACAGTTTGGGTGAGAAGATGTTGTTTTTAGGAGAGAATTCTTCGTTGGCGTTGTTGGCTTCTGATTTTCCTAGATGTGAAGGAAATAGGATTTACTTTACGGATGATTATTGTGAGGCTAATTATGATGGTGTCAATGGGAATCATGATTTAGGGTATTACAATTTAGAGGATGGTAGGATTGAAGCATTGTCATGCTATCCTCGCAATTCACATTCTATGCTTCGTTGGCCTCCTCCAATTTGGTTCACTCCGAATCCATGTTGATAATGTAAGTCTGCCTCTCTTTTACATTTTCTTGTGTACAAATTAGCTTAGATCTTTGGTTTTCATGTAATATAAGTTATGATAGGAATGTTAGGTTGTCGTTTCACTTTGTGATTACTGCATTTCTAGTTTGGTCACTGGTGTAATGTACTGTCCAACACTCATGACAATTATGCATTTCTTACTCCGGCGAAATTAACAATCAACTTGAATTTCACCAAAAGCTAGTCTGATGCTACTGTGAGATATTTAAAGTTTGAAGCGCAACTCGACCAATATAGTGGAAGTAGAGATTGTGCACTACTAACTCTCTAAAACTTATTTTGAGGTAATTGTACTTGCAATACAACTGAAGAGAGGTCCTATAGTGCGAACTTAAGACTGCAGTTGGGAGTGACTTTAGGGTCATTCTTGACATCGGTGACCATTAGTTATTTCCCTATGAAACCTCCCGTTCTGATTATGTTGAGGCAAAGAAATTACTTTCCCTAGCCTAGAATATAAGCTCGTGTCAATGTTGTGAATGTGCAACATATAGGGACTCTTCCGTTAAGATGAAGTAACGTCAAATGCAGTAGTCATGTATTTACTCATCTATCTGAATGAAGTTAATTCCACATGAAATGGACGGAGATTTGAGTTTCTCCAACTCCTTGTAAACCATTTCTTGATGCCTCCTATGATAGATTCTTTTTGAATAGGCAATTCATGTGCTTTCCGAAAATCTCTTCTACCGGTTACTGGGTTAACCTAATGGGAAATTATGGTTTTTAGCTCGACCATGTAAGGTGTTAATGAAAATGTTCAAGTAAAATAGCCATTTGGAGATTTGTATAAATTTAATGTTTATTGTTTATTGCTAGTGAGAAAGGTGTATAGGTCAAAATCCACTATGGAACATTTAGGGTGAGGAAAAATCAGTCGAGGTCGATCAGGAAATGGCGAAGCTTGTGGTCGGGATGCTTATAATGGTCGAGGACGAAGTCCGCGGAAAGAACCGTAACGACTAGTTTTTAGAATAGAATAATAGAGGTGATATTCTAAAGAATATTCTCTGCACATGTACTATTAGGGTTTACTAGGGATGTGTCCCATATAAAGGAGAAAAAAGATAAGGACAAGGGGATGTAATATTGATCTGATAAGAACATTTTTCTAAGAAAGATTCTCTCTTTGGCAAAGATACAAACATTATCTTTTCATCAAGATTCTGGTTCATGTTATTCCATACTTTTCCGTCAGATCCGAGAATAGTTCGAACATTCTAAGATTTGTCTGTCACTCATCATTGTCAGGAGTAACAATCACCTAGTCCATTCTTTATTGGGTGAATCACTCCTCCTATTTACTTAAATGCCATTTGTTGCTATTTATTGCTAGTTACTACTCCATTATTGCTCATATCTTATGAATAATTAGTGCATGTCATTATCAATCTCCTATTAGATCTATCCCACATTATCCACGCTTTCAGGATCCACATTTAGAGATATTATCGTTAACTAGGCTTAACCCATAATTTTATATTTATAATAGTTTAACCGAAAACCGTACTTTTTGGTCAAACAAAAGGTTCTTTATGCATCTGTTCATCTGTCCCTATTTTGATTTCTCCTTGCAGTGTATACTACCTCTTGATTCATGATATTATCTTGTTGCAGTGCATTTGGTGAATTCCTCCAGTGAGGTGGTTTGTGAATATGTCTCTGGCCAGAGTTCGCTTTGATGGAATTACTTTGTATATGAGTTGCAAATAATCAATTTGTGGTGTGCTGTAAGTAAACCTGTACCTACATTTTCTTGATGCAATCTGTGACCGCAACATTCCCAGCAATCAAATATCTGTGTGCTGTAAATAAACCTGTACCAACATATTTATTTATGCCAACAGCTTTCCATGTAAATATGTAATTGGCATCTTTCTGCATCTGTTTTATGTTTCTGTCAACACCTTCATTCTATTCTGAACAACTAAGTAGCTGGAATAAAATATTTTGCACTTTTGGAATTATGGATACTTTGTGTTAAGAATAGTCTGTCGGTTGAACTCGTAGCAAACATGCTGCATCCGCCTCTCACTGTCTTGCCCTCCAATTCTATCTCTCAAGTCTTGTGTCATCCAAGTGAATGATGCCTTTTCGCGGGAGCTCTCTAAGCTAACTAGCTAAGCCTTCAAGGTTCAGTATATGCGTAACCACTTCCGTCAGCTGATGTATTAAACGATTAGACAAGAAGAAATTGTTGATTACTCACTGTAAGGCGATTGTCAAGTTCCTATTTTGCAGGAATTTTTGTCAGACGCGCAGCTCTTTGAAGACAACACGGAACAGCATATATGGGCAGCACAAGAGATGCTTGGGAGACAAATTTGTCTGACTTTATTTGAACAAAAGAGAAAACAAAGCTTGTAATTAGCACCAGTCACCTATTCCAACTCCTGCATCTTAAAATCCATTGCTGTTTCTAGAGAAGAAATGAGGAAACAAAGCTTTGTCCGTTTGGTAAGTGATGCGAAGAGTTACTGAGTTGGAATATTAAATCTCTTGCTGTTATTAGCGAAGAGAAAAATCTAATGCTGCTCATTTGGTTTTTAGTTTTAGAGTCTAAACAAAACTAAAATTTGGAATACCACAGAGTACTTTGCAGGATTGAGATAAAACAAAGTGACCTAAGAGGCCGGCACACATATCAGTTCAGCCCATCTAAGACCACCTAAAACAGTTTTTCCTCTTTTTTACTACTAAGCAATACACCTCATTGAGTACATTGAAACTGCAGATTCAACAGTCGAATCAATATAAACCCTTGGATGATCTCCCTCCATTCCATAATCCGTCATCGGACGGTAGTCATCCAGCTCTTCTTCAAATTCATACACGAACTCTGGCATTTCTATCTCCTTTCTCTTTACGTGTTCCCACAAGAACTCTAACCTAGTCACGTAATTCAGCTTCCAATAAATCCTGCAATCAAATTCCACTATAGAGTAAAATACATGCTCTCAAACAGGGGCGGCGCAACCTCATCGGAGGCCTAAAACAAAATTTTAATAAGAGGCCTTTATATATATA